GAGAGGAGTGTAATTTTATAGAGAGGTGAATGCATTGATATTTGGACTCGATGTTCTGGTGTGAACAGCTGGGACTTGTTTGTTCAGTAGCCTCCCTGAAACCTGATCTCACCCATGACCCTGGATGCCAGAAGTAGAGATAGAGATTTTCTTTGGCTTAATGTAGAAGTAATGCAAAGACATAGGGAGATAAGAATGTTGGGATGAATTTCTCCATGTAACCTGCTCATCCACCTCCCATTTATGTCCTCTGAGAGGACTGGAGCGCCTGTCCTTTACCAAGAAATACACTGATGGCAGGTGCACTACCGTCCTGGAAACGTGCTTCATTGGCTAACTTCTGCAGTGCAGGGATGGAGATGGGAGACGTTCCATTAGCATAGACTCTGTGATTTCCGTGGGATGTAGGGAAGTCCAAGATGCAAAAGGCAAGTAGGAGTGCTTAATAGAGCAGAGGCAGCATGAGTACGATAACTTCAGCAGGCAGCAAGGATGGAGTGAGCGTTAGAATGGGCCCACAGAGGCCTCGAGTAGGGGTAATGGATGCTGAGTCCCTAGGCTGGAAATAGATGAACAATACATTAAGGTTCTACTTGATCTATGCTACCAACACAACTGAGTATAACAACACAACAAAAATGAAAACACAACTTGGATTTTATCACCATGAAAGCCACAGCACCTCCCTATTTCCCAGATCTGAGTCAGTGCACAGACCCTGAACCCCTTGAATGAGGGGAAAGCTGGGGAGTCTTGCGGATGGGCAATTTGGCCAAATCCTTTGCAGTTTTTTTTTTTTTTTTTAAAGTAGGCTCCACGCCCAATGTAGAGTCCAATGCAGGGCTTGAGCTCATGACCCAAGATCAAGACCTGAGCTGACATGGAGAGTTGGACATGTAACCAACTAAGCCACCCAGACTCTCCTCTTTGCAGTTTTAAGATCAGTCTTTCTGTATGCTATTCTGCAGTGCAGAAAGGAAGGACTCTCAGATAGAAGAGACCGTTAAACCAAATTACAACTGATGCAGTATACAGATTTGAACAGTATTTTCTTTAATGGCCACAATCACTCTTTCAGAAATGACCCCACGTTGCATAGACTCTAGCACTCAGTGCCTAGCATGGTACAGAATTTCACATGTGGGGGAGCGGAGGGAGTCAGACTTTGTTGCCAGAGGCTCTTCCTCAGAAAATTCTTCTTCCCTCTTTCTGTATGACCATGTCTTTTCTCTCAGTGGTCCCGTCTTTCAACAGGTCAGTTGACAGGTGCCCTGATTATGGTGTTGTGATCTCTAGGCCACAGATGGGATGTTTCTCCTCTCACATTCAATTAGTCACCTAGTCATCTGCCGTATCTCCCCTCTTTGTAAGGGCCTGGTTGGTCAGAGGGAGCCATTTTGTTGCAGTGAACTTAGATTGACCCTGCCCCTCCCAGAGGAACTTACTTGCAAAGCCTAGATACAAGGGCGGGTCAGGCCAGGTGAAGACATCCAGTCAGAGGGGCGCACATATATTTACTGAGGTGAGTTTAAATCCCATTGGCTACCTGTGTGGGGGGTGGGGCTCAACCACCCCTATAAAGGTTAGTTTGCGCGGGTGAAGCTGAGAAGGAGAGCCTTCGGAGAAGAAGTAGGAGAGCTGTCAGAGGAGAGCCGTCAGAGTTCTTGTCAGAGCGGTCAGAGCTGTCAGAGCCGTGAGAGCCACCAGCAGCCCTGCTGCCCCGAGCCGCGGCCTTGCCGAGCAGCCTTGCGGGAGCAGCTTCATTCCGGGAGCTGCTTCCTCGACGTGAGGCCTCCTCCGTGAGCGGCCTAGTCAGGAGCAGCCTTGCCCGGGGAGCAGCCTCGCCGGAGCAGCCCCTGTCTGGGGAGCGGCCCTGTCTGGGGAGCAGCCTCGTCCAGAGCGGCCATATTGGGAACGGCCTTGCCGGGGTTGTCGTCGTCGCGTAAGAGACAGCCCTGACCGGTCAGTTTGATTCTTGATGCTTGGCACGAAATAAAGCTTTGCTTGACCTTCGCTTTGTATCAGTCTTGCTCCTTTGATCACGGACACTAACACTCTTCTCTTGCTGCTCTACTACTGCCTTCAAGTAAGGCGACGGTCCACAGTCATTTGATCACCTGCCATTAATGTATGTTAAAAAATCAAGTATGCATCCCAATATTTGCAAATAAAATGCATATGAATATGTGATATACTATGTACGTTAAGAAACATGCACAAAGGGGCGCCTGGGTGGCTCAGTGGGTTACAGCCTCTGCCTTCGGCTTGGGTCATGATCCCAGGGTCCTGGGATCGAGCCCCGCATCGGGCTCTCTGCTGGGCGGGGAGTCTGCTTCCCCCTCTCTCTGCCTGCCTCTCTGCCTACTTGTGATCTCTGTCTGACTTGTGATCTCTGTCTGTCAAATGAATAAATAAAATCTTTTTTTAAAAAAGAAGAAACATGCACAAAAATAGAACTAAAAAAGATGGAAAACATAGAAATAGAATTAATATTTTCTTCCATCCCTCCAGTGCGTTTTGCAGTGTGATGATACAGATGTGTGTCTCACTTTGAAGACACAAGTTTAGGCCGTCATGCTGTCTCACTGAGGCAGTGGCCTCTAATCCCTCATTGGAAGAAGTCCCAAGTTCTTTAGCATGGCATCATCAAGTTCCTTCTCGATTTGCCCCACGCCTACATTTCTGGACTCATCTCCTAGACGCTCCCAGTAATGGGCTCTTCTGATCACTCCATCTATACCGGTCTGCTCTCTATCCCCAGACACACATTCACTCATACACACATGTAACTCTTTCCACCTAAGTTGCTTAATGTTCTGCACAGAATTTATCCCTGTCAGAAATCATAAATTTTGTTTTTTGCCTGTCTTTGTTATAGTGTGAGCTCTGAGCTGAGAGGAATCTTATCTTGCCTGTTTTATTCCCTGCTATGCCCTTATACCTAAGGCAGATTCTGGAACCACAGTTCGTGCCCCCTAAAACCTGTGTAATGAGCAAATTTCTATAATAACCAGTTGTTCTCAGAATTGAATCTTTTTAATTAAAAAAATTAATTATTTATTAGAGACAGAGAGAGGGTGCATGCACAAACAGGGGGAGTGGCAGGCAGAGGGAGAAGCAGGCTCCCCACTGAGCAGGGAGCCTGATGCGGGACTTGATTCCAGGACCCTGGGATCATGACCTGAGCTGAGGGCAGAAGCTTAACGGACTGAGCCACCCAGGTGCCCCTCAGAACTGAATCCTGACAGACTTGTACAGTAGATTGTCTGATTGGGTGCCTCAAATATCCTTCGTCCAATCTGTTGAAAAATCAAGTCCGAGATACTACTTTCCAAGAACCAATTTTATAAAGCAGATCGTTGTTGCATGATAGTACCTGAATGGGCACAGACAATACCGAGTTAATGCCTAAATATCTCTGATGTGTGAGTGCTTTAAATTGTCCCTTTAAAGATTTCTTTGTACCCTCAAAGAATTTTAGGTTTGGTTTTGTTTTTAAAGATTTTACTTATTTGACAGAGAAGGGAGATCACAAGTAGGCAGAGAGGCAGGCAGAGAGGGTGGGGGGGGGGAAGGAGGGTCCCCGCTGAGCAGAGAGCCCCATGTGGGGCTCCATCCCAGGCCCTGAGATCATGACCCAAGCCGAAGGCCAAGGCTTTAACCCACGGAGCCACCCGGGCGCCCCGAGAATTTTAGTTCTAAAGTTTCTAATAAGGTGCTGAATTGGAAACCATAGAGATAAAGGACTTAATTGTTCAATTTTAAATTTAAATAAAAATATCCTTCCAAAAGGAAGGCTTCATCGGCGCCGGCCTAGTGAGGTCTGGGAAGGAGACGAGTGTTTTGAAAGTGTAGGAGGGAAAGCACCGCCTCGGGTCTGCTCAGTGGGTCCTGGGCCTCCTCTGTCCAGGCCAGCGCACAGGACACGGTACGACAGAATCGTTTAAACTAAACTGTGAATGACTGATGAAGCAAGCCAGGGGCCCAGGGTTGTAAGTTCAGACGACACTGACGGATGAGCTACACTTCAGGAGAAAGAGGTCCCGCCTCGTGTCCCCGCAGCCGCGTCTCCGCACCTCCTCGTCGGTCTCCGCTACACATGCGGGCTCGGCTGGCAGCAGGCGCGTGCTCCGGACGCCGACGGGGACTTGGACCCGCACGTGCTCCGTGGACGCCCACGGGGACCTACACCCACCGGCTCGGAGTACCAGGCAAGCCCAGCTCCAGGGCCAGGAAAGGCCTCTGGGAGACGCGCCCGTGGAAGGCGCAGCGAGGCCGGGCCGGAGAACCGCACCCCCGGAAGCCGGTCCGAGCACGGTTAACGGGCGTCGGAGAGCAGCGAGCTGAGGGCTTCCAAGAGGCGGCGCGCAAGCGGGTGGGCAGAGCAGCGTCCGCAGCGAGGCCCTGCGGACAGACAGACTGGGGGGTCCTGAGGTCAAGCCGCCTCGTTCCGAGGTTCGTCCGGGGCCTCCCAGGCAGCCCTGGGGGGCGGGTTTCTCCCGGGCGGCGCCCCCGCACCGGGGCCCGCGACGGGGGCGTCTCAGCTCACCCGACGCCGACGTCCCCTCCTGAGCCACGCGCCGCTCGACGCCAACCCCTAAGCGCTACGGGATTCCTGGGTTCGGCCTCGAAAGGAAAACGCGGGCCATTCCCTCCCACCCCGGTTTGCCAACACGCACGACGTTGACCCCGCTCTGCAGCGTCCGTGGAGATCCGAACCCGTCCCAGCGTCCGGTGAAACACTCCCGGATGACGTCACCCAGCGAGTTCAGAGGGCGGGGCGCCCCGCCCCCGGCCCCATCCCCGACCAAGCCCCGCCCCTCAGCCTAGCTCCCGTTTCCTGCTTCCGGGGCATCGTGACGTAAGACGTGGGTCACGCAACGCGGGCACCGGGTCCCGGAAGCAGAAGTGGCTGGCGCGGAGGCGGCGGCAGGAAGGGCGGGCGTCCGGGTCGGCCGCAGGGGGCGGGGCGGGGCGGGGCGGGGCCGGGCATGGTAACGGCTCGGAAGCCGAGGGGGCTGGGCCGGACGCAGGCGGAGGACCCGGGGTCGGCCGCCGCCGCTGCCGCCCTGTCCCAGCGCGCTCCGTGAGGTCCGCGCGGCGCCGCGTCGGCCATGATGATCCACGGCTTCCAGAGCAGCCACCAGGACTTCTCCTTCGGGCCCTGGAAGCTGACGGCCGCCAAGACGCACATCATGAAGTCGGCGGACGTGGAGCGGTGAGGCTCGGGCGGGCAGCGGCGGCCGGGCGGGCGGGGGGCCCGAGAGCGCCGGGAGGCCGCCTGGGCCCCGCCGGGGTCCGGCCGCCGCCGCCGCTGTCGCTCCGGCCGGCTCCGAGCAGAGCGACCGGCGGGCGCCTCAGACCGATGCGCGATGCCCGACGCCGGCGCCGGGGGTGCGCGCGGCGGAGGTTGGCGGGTCGGGGCCGCGCCGGGCGCCCGAGACGCGGGAGATGGAAGGGCCGCCACCTCCAGGGAGCGCGTCCACGGACGGACGGATGGACGGACGGGGCCCTGTCGTGCCCTGGAGCCCCCGAGACGGGGGCGCGGCGTCCGGACAGGTTCGGGCGCTGGGACGCGGCCGGGAGGCGTTTGTGATGCGGGACCGCGGGGCGTCGGGCGCGTGGAAAGCCGGACCGCGGGGGCGCTGCGAGCCTGCGCTGGTTCGAGGAGCCGTTTCCGTGGGGTGGTGGCGCGGACGCTGGGGCGGGTGCGGGCGCGGGCGTGGGCAGGGAGCGCGGCCGCCGAGTGCGTTCCGTGCGATTCCGTGCGGGGAGCGACGCTGTCGGGTGCGCGCGTTGCGGGGCTTCTCCGATGGTGATGGCGGGGGCTGCGGGGCTGCGGAGACCCGCTGGAAGGGCGCACCTGGCCCTGCCAGCCGGTTGACGGGAGGAGGGAGGAGCGGTCCGTGCGGACTACGGGGTTTCTGGCTCCGGCCGCGGCCCGGGAAGCTTCGTGGTTGAGCCGCTGGGAAGCGGGACGCGGCCCAGATGGCGGCAGCCGCCGGAGAGAGCCGCAGGTCAGACTGCCCAGCTCTGAGTTCTGCGGGACCGCAGGCGGGGACGTAGCAGGCGTTTCCCTGGGCACTCGGGAAGCCTGACTGCGCCCGGGTGCGGGTGTGGGGTCATCAGCTTCGGGTTGACACCCGCAGCCTCGGGGGCGGGCTGAGCTCCTGCAGAAGTCGTCTCGGAAGGGAGAAGGGTGCGGGGCGGCACCCGAGGCCACGCTGGTGTTCTAAGACTTAGGCCAAGGAAGGCGACCAGGGGAGAGAGGCATGAAGGGATGGTTAGTAGTGTAACGTAGTAATTATTTTACTTACACAACTGGAATATTTTGTAAGGCCGCCAGATTTCTCCAGATATATTGGGGCAAATTCAGAGAATCACGTCTTGTATTATTTTATATGTATTATTTAGTGGAGTAGTTAAGATCTGTTTAATTGGATGTTTTTAATTAAAATTTATTCCAATACACTCTGTCTTCATCTTATTAAATCTTTTAAGTATTTAACATTTTCTTTATAAAAATTTTGTTTCATTGTAGTGGGCATACTTAACATGAGATCTATATTCTTAACAGTTTTTTTTTTGTTTTGTTTTGTTTGTTTTTTTTTGTTTGTTTGTTTGTTTGTTTTTTGCATCAGAACCTTGTAGTTTTTTCCTTGGAAGTAGTGTGTTGGCCTGTCTGTATTTGTCGTTGTCCGTTCGTCTCCCGCTGGATGCCTGGGTTGCGGTCATATGTTGGCTGTTGTAAATAATGCTGGAGTGAGCATGAGCTTACATATGTTTCTTCAAATTCGTGTTTTTATTTGGTTCAAATAGAATTGCTGGATTCTGTGGTAGTTCTGTTTTTAATTTTGGGGGGAACCTTATTCTTTTCCATAGTGGCTGCACCACTTTGCATTCTCACCAGCACTGTAGGGAGGGTTCCCTTTTCTCTGCATCATGGCCCTTGCATGCTATTTTTCTTTTTAATGATAGCCGTTCTCACAGGTGTGAGGTGGCATCTCATTGTCGTTTGATTTGCGTTTCTCTGATGATTAGTGATGCTGAACATCTTTTCATGTGTCTCTGTGTTGTCTTTGGAGACATGTCTTTCAGCTGCTCTGCCCATTTCTAATTTGTATTGATTGTGTGGCTTCTTTATGTATTTTGGATATTAATCCCTTCTCAGTTGTATCACTTGCAGATATCTTCTGTTTAATAGATTGCCTTTTCATTCTGTTGATGGTTTCCTTCACTCTGCAAAGACTTTTAGTGTCGTATAGTGCCATTTATTTATTTTTGATTTTGTGCCTTTGGTTGAGAAGACAGAGCCACCATGTATTGCCAAGACTGATGTCAGGGAGCTTACTGCCTCATGTTTTCTTCTGGTAGTTTTATAGTTTCTGGTCTTACATTTACATCTTTAATCTATTTTGAATTTATTTTTGTGTACAGTGTAAGAAAGTGGTTGTTTCCTTTTTTTTTTTTGCATTTCAGTTTCATTTTTTTGATTTTCCAGTTTCCCCCAGCACCGCTTATTGAAGAGACTGTTTTTTCTAATTTTATGTTTTTGCCTCCTTTGTTGAAGATTAATAACCTTGTAGGTGTGGGTTTAAAGATTTACTTACTTGAGAGAGAGTGAGAGGAAGATCCTGCGAATGAACACGCGAGCTGGGGGAGAGGGAGAGCGAGAGGGAGAATCTCAAGCAGTCCCCGCTGGGATTGCAGCACCTCCTTCGAGGCTAAGTCGCAACAATGCTGAGACAGTGACGGGAGCTGAAACCAAGAGTCAGAAGCTTAACCCACGGAGCCGCTCAGGCGCTGCACTCTCCATTCTGTTTCACTGATCAGTGTGTGTTTGGCGCCAACACGTCCTGTGTTGGTTACTGTAGCTTTGTAGTATAGGTTGACATCAGGGAGCAGTTTACTTCTAGCTTTGGTCTTTTTTCTCAAGATTGCTTTGGCTGTTCAGGGTCTTTTGTAGTTCCCCTCCTAACAAATGCTTACGTGTGCGGTGCCTTCTTGTTAACTGCAGGTCCGGTGTTGTATAGCAGGTCTCTGGAGCGTGTCCATCTGTATTTCAGGGGCAGGGGCGGGGGCTGGGGGGAGAATCTCAAGCAGACTCTGTGCTGAGTGCTGAGCCCGGCTTGGGGCTTGATCTCACAACCCTGAGATCATGACCTGAGCCAAAATCAGGAATCTGACATTTAACCGACTAAGTCACCCAGACACTGCCAGATTTGGCTATTGTAGACGCCTCATAAAAGTAGGATCATGTAGTATCTGTCTTTCTGCGACTGGCTTTTTTCCTTAGCAAAATGGCCACAAGGTTCATCCATGTTGTTCCATATTGCAGACTTTCCTTCCTTTTTTTTTAGGTTGCATTGTATTCTGTTGCATGTATAAACCCTATTTTCTTTCCTCTGTGGTATGGATGGACACTTAGGTTGTTTCCACCTCTTTGCTATTGTCAGTAGTGTTACAATGAACAAAGGAGTGTTAATTTCTCTAGTACTTAATATTTTGTTTCCTAATAACTAAGAATAAATTTTACTTAAATTTGCGATGAAAAATTAACATTATTAGGTATCGTACTAAAGGTGTGCAACTTAAAATGTTAGATCACTGATGTGCACACATACATACACACAGATGTAATAAACAAACGTGTCCAGTTTTTCTTACTGTTGTATCATAACCATCTTTCCTATTATATTTTCTCTTTAAACATTTTTGATGATTCTATAATATTTCATTATATGGATATACTATAGTATACATAACCATTTATTTCTTCATGATTGGATTTTTCGAGTATTTCTTTTTTATTATTATAAAGAAGATGGTTATGAGTATTAATTTGTATAGCTCGTTTCTGCATTGGGGATTATTTCTTTATTATAGATTTCCAAAACTGATATTTTGAGTCAGCATATCAGTTTGATTAAATTCTTGGTACTTTTTATTTCATTGGTGCCTCGGGGGATAGAATGTAAATTGACACAGTCCTTCCGGAAAGCCATGTAAGCAAGTGCCGGTTTCCCTCATCAGTGTTGCTGCTTTTGCCTTCTTCATTACCACCTTTTAATACTTGGGACAAGTTGAGAATTTTATTGGAAAAGTTGTTTTCCTACAGCCTACAGGAAACAGTCTCTTTAAGTGCTATCTTCTCTTCATAACTATAATTAATATAATTGTTGTATAAGAACAAAAAGTCTACCAGAAACATGAACCTTATGGAAACATGAGACTATGGTACATTAGGTCATCTCCTAGGCAGTCATAGTAGAATCAGGACCCATATTTATTCTTGATAGGGGTGGGTCTTTGGTGATCCAGGAATGAAATAGATGTTTCTAATAAGAATCAGTATTTTTTTCCATTGTTTAATTTTTTCATGCAGGGGTTTTTTTTTATTTTTATTTTATTTAGTTTTATAATAGCTGCGTAGCTGTTCAAAAATCCGGAAGTCTTAGAAAAGAAAATTGACACGAAAGCCTTCTGATCTGCTAAAGTTGCTGTTGTAGAACACTTGCACTGAAGGCCTCTGCTTTTGTTGTGGTCCCTTAGAACGTCACTCAGAGCACATGCAAACTTTTGCCTCTGTTGCCCACTTTGTAATTATAACCGTATTGGAACTATTATCTGACTTTTGGTTATGCATAGGTTAGCCGATGAATTGCACATGCCGTCTCTCCCTGAAATGATGTTTGGAGACAACGTCCTGAGAATCCAGCACGGCTCTGGCTTCGGGATTGAGTTCAATGCTACCGATGCATTACGATGTGTAAACAACTATCAAGGAATGCTTAAAGTAGCCTGTGCTGAAGAGTGGCAGGAGAGCCGGTGAGAATCTGGAAGGGTATGGGTTAAATGAAAGAGAAGAGTTGAAAGAAACCTTCATGATATGTGTCTTTTATTAGAGTGAAAGGCAAGTATTATTATCATACTTGATAGTTGGATCATTCTAGGATTCATTTTTCTCACCCGTAAAGTGGAGATCTTGAATACTTGCTGAGTTCAGTTGAATTACAGTGGATCTGAGCTAGTAAGGTGACGTTGTTGAACCTGGGGTGTCCTTCAGTGAAGAGGCAGTACACCGTGTACTTTACTGTTCTTGCTTTTGAAGAAAAATAGTTACTTGTGATTTGCATTGTAAATGTAGGGGGCGTTGAAATAGAGAAACATGTATTTTCTCTGATATCAAATTAGCAGTTATTTACTTTGTGCCAATTATGTACCAGGTACCTTGGAGGATAAAGAGAAGTACAGGTCTTTAAACCATGTCCTCAGGCAGTGTACAGACTAATTGGAGAGACTATATCAGCATATGACAAGTTTAGTAACAATAAATATGCAGAAAAAGCAAGGACGGTCTTGCTTTGGTGAATTATGACGAGAATATGTATCGATTAGAATGTTTGTATCACTCGTAGAATGTAATCTGGTGTGATCCGTGAGCGCAGGTGATCTGTATTCTGCGCCATTGAATCTGATCCTCTTTCTTTGATTCCGAGGACGGAGGGTGAGCACTCCCAAGACATTCTTAAACCGTACGATTGGACCTACACCACAGACTACAAGGGAACGCTGCTTGGAGAGTCACTTAAGTTAAAGGTAAGTCTTATTTTCTCCTTTTATGATCAAGTCATTCATTGTCTTGGACAGTGTCTGCATTAGAGCTCCCCAATTGTGGCTTATTTTTGCTGCTGCTTTCATCCTGCTTTCTGTCGAGGGAAGCTTCAGAACCTAATGCAAAGGGATTTTGCTTACTGATTATAAACAGAAAAGAGGAAGGCCATAGGGGAAAAATTTTTATTCCAAAAATATGTTTAGTAGCAATGGCAAACTGCCTTAATGTTATCATTATCACTCTCAAATTAAAATGTGTGTCTGGGGGTGCCTGGGTGGCTCAGTGGGTTAAAGCCTCTGCCTTTGGTTCAGGTCATGATCCCGGGGTCCTGGGATCAAGGCCCTGCTTCCCCCTCTATCTTCCTGCCTCTCTGCCTACTTGTGATCTCTGTTTGTCAAAATAAATAAAATTTTAAAAAAATCTTAAAAAAAAATGTGTGTCTGCCCTTGGTGTATTGAATTGGGTGATGTAGACAAAACCTGCTAGTTAGAAGCTTGCGGTTTCACAGCTGAACAGACTGGTGGACAGATAGGACTTGTGCTCAGACAGCTTAGGTGTTCGTCTTGCTGCACTGTCTCTGAGCCTGGTTATGACTCCAGGCAGGTACTTACCCCGAGTCTCAATTTTACTAGTAAACTGGGTAAACAGAGATAATAGCCTCAATAGCAGAGTTTTGACACGAGCTTATCTGTGGGAACGTGTTCAGGAAACCCTCCAGTTCCGTGTTAATAATGCAGCCGTGTAAACCAGACAGCTTGAGAAGAGATGGAGTGTCACTTCATGGTGCATGACACTGGGAAAGTAGAATCTGTAGGTCTCAGATTGGGAACTTGGCTGCATTTTGACATCCTGCAATTTGAAATGAAGAAAATTTGGCTTAGGTTGCAAGTCTCTATCACATTCAGTTACAGAAAAGAAAGTTACTTTAGTGGAAATAAAGTGATTATTGGAGACCCAGATCGTATGTTGGCACTTAGGCAGGAGTGTTAAGGAGCCAGAGCTGTGCATGGGCACCTTGTCTCTGCAGAAGTTTTTGGAGTCTTGGGAAGACAGAAGTTCATAGCGGCCACTCCGTTCTCTTCGTTTCCTGCACTCCTGTAATCCAAGCTTTAACTGTTTTACTCTGCTGCTTCCAAGACAAATATGCATTTTTTGAGAGGACATTTGTGCATTCATTCATTCACTCACTCACTCATTCATTCTTGAGCTCTTCCTCTAAGCTAGACACTAATTCTGGGAGTGGTGGATGCAGCAGAAAACAGACAAAGACCCCTCCTGTGTAGTCTAATGGGCAGCAAGGTTACTTCAGTCCATCGACACTTCATAGATTAATGTGCTCCTTTCTTCTCCTGAGTGAAAACCTTTGTAAAGAACAAAGTTCATTTGATATTTCATTGCTGGGAGTGAGGAAATGGGAACTCATTTTAACTCTTTGCAGGAATGATGCCTTACAAGTTGATGAATACGTTCCTTTATTGCCTTAAAAAATTGAGTAACCATTTTCTAGGCAAAATTGTTAGAACTTTGTTGCTTAATCCTCAGAATAACCTTGTGTCATTGGCACTCTTATCCTCATTTTGTGAATGAAGAAGTGGGTTTAAGCTCTTGAAGTACGTGTCTCTTAATAACGTAACACTGAAGCTGTAGCTTATGGTTAAGCATGTTTGTTGTATGTGGAAGATCACGCCATTGGAACATTTTTTACATTTGACTTTAAGAATTTTTTGCCCTATGATATTACTTGCGATTTTAAATTTCAATTCTTCCACCCTTTCTGAAAAAAAAGCCCTGGTGTGTATAGGAAGTATATGCCTGTGGAGGAAAATACAATTTATATAAATGGTAAGAATGTCAGAGAATGAGGTGTTTGAATGAAACCTTTCCTTTTGCCCTTATATTCTTGTCGTCTAATTGCTGGGGGCTGCTTGGGTGTGTGTGTAGTGTTTTCTCACTCTTTTTGGGCTGTTTCACAGATTATTTTTTGAGTTGTAGCATAGTGTAAGAGACGAGAGCCAGCCGTAGAGTTGTGCCGGTCGCAGATCTGCCCTCGCTAATTATTAGCCGGGTCACCCTCAGAACACCTCTGAGATTAGGGCATAAGAGTGTTACGAGGTCAGAGGTCTAATGTGTGCCTGGCAACATGTGGTCATTTTCTTCATTCTTGTTGACTAGATCAGTTGACTTTGCAGGAGAGTGGAAGTGGAAGACCGCCCTTGTAGCTGTATTGCCCTTTAGGAATAAAACGTGTATAATGTCCATGCATTGAAGAGCATATTTTTTAAAAAGATGTATGCATTTGTTTGAGAAAGAGTGAGAGAAAGAGAGAGTGTGAGCCAGAGGAGGGATAGAGGAAGAGGGAGAGAGAGAATCCTTAAGCAGACTCCTCGCTGGGTCTGGATCCTGACGCTCGACCCTGAGATCATGACCTGAGCTGAAACCAAGAGTCGGGTGCTTAACCAACTGAGCCACCCAGACACCCCTAAAAATAGCATTCTTTTTAAAAGCATGTTGGAACATTGTCAGCTTATTCAGTGTGATTTGATATTTTGAGCTTTTTTTTTCTCTTTTCTTTTTTTTTTTTACCATGGTAAAAAACATAACAAAGTTTATCATCTTAACAGTTTCTCTATATGGTAATTTAAATTTATTCATGTTGTTGTGCAGCCAATTTTCAAAACTTTTTCATCTTGAAAAACTGAAACTCTGTACCTGTTAAACAGTAACTCCTCATTTCCTCCTCCCCCAGGCCCTGGCAACCGCCATTCTGTTTCCTGTTTCTATGAATTTGACCTCTAGATAGTTCAGATAAGTGGAATCTTACAATATTTGTCTTTTTGTGACTGGCTTATTTCACTTAGCATCGCATCCTCAGGGTTCATCAGCGTAGCATGTGTCAGCCTTTCCATCCTTTTTAAGGCTGAGTAGTATTTCTGTAGATGTAGGCCGTGCTTTGCCTCCCCCTTGTTTGTCAGTGAGCATGTAGGTTCCCTCCAGCAGGATCCCTCCTGATCATAATTCTTTTGTAAAAATATTTTCTAGTATAATTTGAAATTTTCGACCTTAACCTCAAGAGAATTGGAAAACCTGTCCCCATGCAAACACCTGTCCCCAGCTGTTCACGGCAGCGTTATTCAAAATAGCTAAAATGTGGAAGACACCTAAGTAATCATCAGTGAACACGCAGAACTGGTGTGTCTGGACAATGGCATGTGAGTTGGCCTTGAACAAGGGACAAAGTGCTGGTCGTGTGCTGCGGGAAGGACTCCAGACACGAAACACCCATGGGTGCCCTAGGATGATTTGCAAAGGGACGAATCTAGAAAAACAGAAGTTAGAGTGGTATTTTACAGCTTCGGCCTCATTTTCATTTCTTTTTTCTTTTTTTTTTTTTTAAGATTTTTTTTTTTTGTCAGAGATAACAAAAGGGGGCAGGGGGGGGGGGGGGGGGGGGGGAAGCAGGCACCCCGCTGAGCAGAGAGCCTGATGCGGGGCTTGATCCCAGGACCCTGGGATCATGACCTGAGCGCAAGGCAGAGGCTTTAACCCACTGAGCCACCCAGGCGCCCCTCCCTAGGGTCTTTTATTGTCTTTTTATTTCTGTTGGTTCTGGCTCATGGGGTCTAGGCTCCTAAATGTCTCCGTATTTTTGTTGAAATCGCGGGATGATGATCGTTTTCTCCAGAAAGGATTTTTGTTGTTTCTGAGAGGCACTGAGGGTGTTTGTGGTCAAGGACTTAGTTCTACAGACGTTCTGTGGAGCTGGTTTTAGGCGTTGGGGGTTGTAGCGTTCACGTTGCAGCTGCTCGGCTGTGCTCTTGTAGTCGAAGCAGCCAGAGACAGTGAGCGAGTGAATGGTCATGGCTTTGTTGCAGTAAGATTTTACTTAGGGACGTGGAAATTTGGCTTTCATCTAGTGAAATCATACGATTCATATATATGTTCATATAATGAATTTGAGTTTCTTGTGTCATGAAATACTCTTTTTTAAACTGAACTGCTTTTTCCAATGATTTAAAAAATGTAAAAATGATTCTTAGCTCACAATTCATGGAAAAAATAGGTGATGGGGTGACATTTGGCCACAGCTGGCCTAGGGGTCTTAGTTTGCTTACCTCTGTTTTGGGGCCAGTGTTTGCGGTTTCCAGGCCCGTATTATATAAGAAGCTGTGAAACCCGTGCAGCGTTAGCGCACCATCCCCAACTAGGGAGGGCACAGGGCGTTCTGCACGGTGAGCGCTGAGCTGTGATGGAGCCAACAACTGGCAGAGCCCAGCCTCTCCCCCGGACGAGCCATTCCAGAGGCCTCCAGGCCCCAACCAGCCGTCTGCAGCCTCGCTGGCCCTTTGTCTGGGCTCCGGTCCGCTTTCAGGTCTCAGTCCAGTAATTCTTTGGTGTCTCAACCATTGGATGTTTTTAAGTTTTTGTTTTTTCATCCAGCTTTTAAGTTGTCTTCAGCAAGAGGATTTGTCCGAGTTCCTTATTCTGACAATACTAGAAGTTAGAAGTGTTTGACCAATTGTTTTCAACCAATCTGTTGGTTTTGGTTTTTTTCCCCCTTTCTTTTCAGACGCCTGAGTTTAGGGAGGACATAGTAGAGTTGAGGAAGAGAAAAGAGAAAGAGAAAATCTGTTTTAAACATATATTTCCTGGCAAATGAAAAAGACGGTATAGATAAATTCAATATAATGAATATCCCCATATATGAATATATCTTAGTATATTTCTTAATGTTTTATCCAATTATTTTCTGTCATTCTCTTTCAGATATTTTATAAGCACAAGTAAATGGCAAAACTGATAGATTCCTTTTGATCGGTCCCTTGTGAAGGTCTATACAAAACAGTGAAGTAGTCATTTACTGATAGGAAATTGATATAATGACTGGTTAATTTTTTGGAAATCAGATGTTTTTATAAGGAGGATCTTACAAATGTGTACCTTCAAACTAAAGCTAAATAAAAAGCGAGGAATTTGGAAGTCGTGTTTATACTGACTGAAGTTTTATGCTCTTAGACAGTCCTAGAAGCACCAGCTTTTGTCTTAAATGGAAAACAAACATGCAGGTGGCGCAAGGGGCTGGTTATGTGCTGCCCTGTCCCCGCCCCTCCGCTCCCCTCCCACTCCCAGTTTGCACATTATGTGTGGCCTTAGGCCTGCTGCAGACGCATTTTGGAAAAGACTGCAGAGGGCTGGAGTACTCTGTGAGTGACCGTGGAGGACACGTGGACATGCTTTCACCTCTCGGGGCTCCAGTGCACACTGCTGCTGCTTGTCGCCATAACCTTCCCCCACATCACATAAAACTCCTTTAAACTGTTCCCCCGCCCTCATCCCTGCAGTCTCCTGCATCCGTCGTCATAGTCTTCTAATCCCAGTCCAGACTTCCCGATTCTACCCATGAGTCAAATTACCCCATCACGGCTGCTGAGGAAAGTGAAGGAATCAGGCACTTACTGAACAGCTGCGGTTTGACGAGCCTTGTCGTGTTTATGGTACTGTGCTGTCAAGGGATGGGAAAGCTGAACATCTTCTAGTGGAACTGGGTGCGGTAAAGAATGGTATCTCAGATCCTACCCTATAGCTGTAGGAGACACTTAGACTTAGTTGAGCTACTGCTAGGATTTGCTGTGTTAACATTGTTGATTCTCTTGTTGGGCTGTGAATGTGTGTGTCTGCGAGCTACAAAATAATATGGCGAAGGAATGGCCAGCGTCCTCTAAAGCCCTTTGGAATGCTAAGAGTTTCCCCCTCAATATCTGTGAAAGTTCTTATTTACATCATTATTTAAGATTATTTATTTATTTATTTATTTGACAGAGATCACAAGTAGGCAGAGAGGCAGGCGGGGGGGGGGGAAGCAAGCTCCCCGCTGAGCAGAGAGCCTGATGCGGGACTTGATCCCAGGACCCTGAGATCATGACCTGAGCCGAAGGCAGAGGCTTTAACCCACTGAGCCACCCAGGTGCCCCTACTACCTCATTATTTAAAACACTATTTTGTTTGTAGGTTTGGGGAAGCTAGGCTGGGAACCTAAAATATATAACAGGATTCTAATGGGGATTTTTAAAGCTCCAAACCAGTGTATGAAAGGTGGACTTTCAGAGCACAAAACTGCTTTGGACGTCTATGATAGTAGTTCACGCTAATTTTCAGATGATTAGTTTTCTGATAATCATAATAGAACACTTGATTTGAATTTAACTTATGAAAGATGATGAATTTTGACTCCCTTGTTTTCTGAAGTTATAGTATCAGCTATCTGTAGTATCTTAAGTTTTTCAAGGACAAGGAACATATCTCATCTTTCATGTCTACTGACGACACCCAAAAGTAGAACTGTGTGCTCTGGCTATGAAGACAAGGCTGGTAGGAGAACAGTTTTCCTGTGGCTCTAATTCTTTAAATTTTTATGTGTTCCTTCTTGAATTTTTTCTTTCAGGTTGTACCTACAACAGATCATATAGATACAGAGAAACTGAAAGCCAGAGAACAGATTAAATTTTTTGAAGAAGTTCTCCTATTTGAGGATGAACTTCATGATCATGGAGTTTCAAGCCTGAGTGTGAAAATTGTGAGTACTGTGATTTTTTGTTTAAAATTAACGTCCTTCTTCCATTCTCACTGTTGGTCAAAAATACAAGACTCACTTAGAAGACTCATGGTCTTAACATGGTATCGTGTCAAGTATCACTTGGGTCTAGAGTACATCTTCATGTCCATTATAAATTCACAAAATCTTAGTATATTCCTAAACTTTAGTTTAGCCAAACATTTTCTTTTAAAAGAGGTGCCTGGCTACTTTGTAGTTTGTTTGTTTACTGTTTAATTTGAGTGAAAATTATGGCTTAATTTTTACTTTTGAATTAAAAATGCTACTGAAAGGATCTACAGACTGTACCTCCATCTCGAGCACAGAAACGGAAAACAAAAATGACACACGTGAACTCCTTTCTCCTTTTGTGTTCTTTTCTGTCTGGTGAACAAGCTACTTTCACTTATAATGTATTGGTGGGACATGTTTAAAAAGAATAATACATGCTCATTAGCAGTTGCTCATACGTGTTTACTGTTGGGTCATAATTGGGTTTCTAACACTTTATAGAAAATTTTCAACTGAAACTTTGTATTACATACCTTATCCCGTAAGACCCAGCTAAAATGTCATCTCCTCTGTATGGCACAAAACAGCTGCCCTGGGCAGAGTTAAATATTCCTCTGCCAGACCCTATAAGTACTTTCTTTTAAACCCTCAGTTATAGCACTTACAAGGTCCGTCAGACACAGGGCCCCAACTTCCGAAATTGTGCTGGGAGCATAATGGTTGTGGGTATTGTGATGGAAGTGATAAGGAATGAAAACAGTAAATCAAAACTTGACTTTTTTAAAGTCAAGTTTTTCTGTACTATCACAGAATTTTGGAATTGTCATGAATGTGTAGAGAATCACTTAGTCTAGCTTCTGTGTTTTATAGACAAGGCCCAAAGTTTGGTTTAGCTAAGGTCACGCAACTAGTGACGGTTTTCTTTGTACCATCTAATACATATCATTATTCTAGCATTAGATAATTGTTCTATTAGCACCTTGCTCCCTTGTTCACCTGTAACCCTCCTCCAGTTCAGCTTTCATCATTTAGGTTCGTTCACTTTCCAGCTTACCCAGTCACGCACCTGTCTGCTTGCCCACCCACCTGCTGTGACTCATTGACTATGTGGAAGTTCCTTAGGGTTTTCCTATCTGGGTATGCGTTAGTATCCGAGCAGGTGGCTGTTCCTTGATTTATCTGTGTGTGGGGCGCCTGTGTTCTTGTCAGTGGAGGAGCTGGAGAGGAGGGGCACAAATGGGTTCTTTGTGCACCAGAGTAAACAGTAACTAAGTCTCAGACTGAGGAGCAATGTCGTCTTAACATGTTCTTTCTTTTTACCTCGTGTAACTTATTTTTATTTTTTAATTTTTTATTATTTTTAAAGACTTTATATATTTATTTGGCAGAGAGAGAGAGAGAACCAGAGCACAAGCAGAGCGGCAGGCAAAGGGGCTCCCCGCTGAGCAGAGAGCCCGACGTGGGACTCGATCCCAGGACCCTGCGATCATAACCTGAGCCAAAGACAGCTGCTTAACTGACTGAGCTGCCCAGGCGTCCCTATTTTTATTTTTTTTAAAAAGATTTATTTGAGAGAAAACACAGCACAGGTAGGGGAAGGGCAGAGGGAGAGACAGACTCTCAAGAAGACTCCATGCTGAGCTCTCTTAGCCCCACACAGGGTTGATCTCACCACCCTGAGATCATTTGCTGAGCTAAAGCCACGAGTGAGTCTGTCGATGAACTGAATACTTGTTGCCTGACTGTCCATAGTGTACTTGCAGTACGTGCGTGGACTGGAAAGTTGGGTAGACATGTGGACATGGAGGGAATGGGTCAGGTGGTCCAGATCTGAGTTGTAGGTGTGTTGAGTTTCTCCAGCCAGACCAGGGAGGGAGCTGGTGGTGGACCACCGTGAAGGTGAGGTATTTGCTGAGCTGGTTTTGTGACAGCTGCCAGTAGCTTCAGGCCGTCACGCTGCCCGCGCTTGCCTGAGGATGAAGCAGCAGGACGGCGTGCAGGGTGCTTCCCACGCAAGCTCACCTGAGTCCACTTCATTGGCCTTTTTACTTAGAGCATTTTCTGACTTTGCATTTTTCCCACTTGCTTTCAGATAAAATAGGAACCATCTCAAGATTATTTTTAGTTTAACAGAGCTCTCTGAGGACCTTCAAAAATAAGTATAAAATTTTAAGGGCTGCCTTACATCTTTCCCCATGGCTAGGAGTTTGATTGGAGCTACGAAATAAACAGCTGACCCTTGAACAGGGTAGGAATTAGGGGTACCAGTGACCCTCCCTTAGAAGTTGAAAATCCTTGGGGCACCTGGGCGGCTCCGTTGGTTAAGCGGCTGCCTTTGGCTCAGGTCATGATCCCGGGGTCCTGGGATGGAGCCCCAGGGCAGGCTCTCTGCTCTCCCACTGCCACTCCCCCTACTTGTGTGTGCACACACGCTCTCTCAAATAAATAAAATCTTAAAAAAAAAAGTTGAAAATCTTTGGACAACTTTTCACTCCCCCAAAACTTAACCACCAGTGGCCTGTTGTTCACCAGAAGTCTCACCCGTAACAGGAACAGTCGGTTACACTTACTTTGCATGTTATATGTACTATTCTCTTACCATATAGTAAGCTAGAGAAAAAACGTTACTAAGAACATTGTAGCGAAGAGAAAATAGAGAAGGGAAGACGGATCAGAAGAAATGGGCATATGTGGACTTGCACAGTTCACACCTATGTTGTTCAGGGGACAACTGTATGGATGATCTTTCACTTTCCAAACATTCTTGGAATCATCTGGGGTAAGGGTAGTAACGTTCATTGCCTTTATTTGGTGTTTTAACTTTGGCCAGAAAACCGCTAAAAAGTTAGTGTTTTAGAATTGTAAATCTAGTTGCTTATGAATGTTTGGTTTTTGGTTTCCTTAATAATTACAAAACACTCTTAAAGAAATGATACCGAAATGTGGAAGCTGCTTACATAAACAAAGTAACTTACTTTACATTCTGGAGATTGTTAGATAGAGCCTTTTAGGTTGCTTTTAATTTATTTGTTTCAGATTTTGAAATTCTTTAACCATCTTAATTTTTAATTCTAAACCTAGACAGTTTTAATTAAAAAAGAAAATTTCCTGTGCCCAGATCCCCAGGAAGGAAGAGTGGATTTAGAGCTCTGTGCACTGTGAGCTCTGGGATGTCTGGATTTGCTTCAGGGAGTTTTTCGGAGTTTTGATAATTTTGTGTTTGTGGCATTACCTATATCCACAGGATGTTTCACAAATTAATTTTTTTTAAAGATTTTATTTATTTGTTAGCACAAGCAGGGAGAGCTGCAGAGGGAGAGGGAGAAGCAGGCTCCCCGCTGAGCAAGGACCCTGGGATGGTGACTGAGCCACCCAGGCATCCCTGATTTGTTTTCTAAATCAGCTTCTTAGAGCAAAGCTTGTTTTTAGGTTAGGATTTTGTATTCTAATATACTGCGCTTGGTAGGATTTATAGCTGATAGGACTCGTCTGTCGAAGATGAAAAGGAAAGCTATTTTCATGCTAATGTGTAAGTTTTTAGCTTTCAAAGGAAGTAAATTCCCTGTCTCCCAAATAATGCTCTTATGTTCTGTAATGGTTTTTATAGCTAATGGTTAGTTCCATTCTGAGTCCTCAGGAGTGAATTTGTCCGCGGTTGCATTGTGCCATTGGGACTAGAACTGGGGTCTTCTAACTCCCAGTCTCCCCTCTGCCATGCTGCAGTGATCGCTTGCTGTGTTGTGCCCGTGTGACTGTTAACAACTAATTTGGAAATTTGAAAAAATGTTGCCAGTCAGTCTTTCCAGTAATTACAAGTAGCACTCTGTCGAGCGGTGGTGCGATTCCCAGTCAGTGGTGATGGGGCAAGATGTCACAGGTCAGGGTCTTCCTCCAAGTTCGTTATTCTGGGTCTTGCTGTGAAGTCTGGTGCGGATAATGTGGCGGTGAGCGCTTTCTCCAGCAAAGGCAGCTCCAGCCTCTCTCGCGGTGAGCGCCCGCGGGGTGCCGGCTACGCGACTAGGGTGTCTAGGCGGCAGGGATGCGGAGGTGAACCCAGCACTGTTCGCTCTCGCTGCTGTGGGACCTGCAGGCACGGGGAGGGGCGGGGGCTGTAGGCAAGTAAACGGATGTAGTTATGAATCTGCCGGTCTGTAAGGGAGTGGGGAGGAGATACCCGGAGAAACCTGCGGTTATGGAATGGTAGGAAAGCTTCTCTGTAGAAGCGACATTGACACTGAGATCCAGAGATAAGTGAGCGTCACGTCTGGCCACAGGGTGTGTGGAGGTGCTAAGGCAGGGGCACCTGGGTGGCTCAGCGGGTTAAGTGTCCCGACTCATGATTTTAGCTCAGGTCATGATCTCAGGGTCCTGAGATGAGCCCCGAATCGAACTCTGCACTCAGTGGGGAGTCTGCTTGAGATTACCTGCCCCCCCTGCCCAAATAAATAAATAAATCTTTAAAAAAAAGCAGGGGGGTCCTAAGGAAGGAGAGCTTGGCCTGTGGCTGGTGACTGTCTAGGCAGTAAAGCCACTGTTAGTAACGGGCTGTCCTGTTACTTCCACACTCGCGTTCACGCTGCTCTGTGCTCATGCGGAGTTACAGGCAGTGCCCTGAAGATACCGTGCTGGTGCCTGCCTCCGAACTTACACGTGCTCTCGCCTCTGTTGAAACTCTCCTTCCCACCCGGCTCTTCTTCCCATGGTCAGCTTCCCCCAACCTTCTCTGACTCTGTCCAGCAGACGTAGGCACTTCTCTCTCTGAGTGCTTCTGAGCCTGGCCACCCCCCACATCATGCTTCTCTGTTTCCCTCTTTGATAAACTTCCTGACCGTTAGGATTCTGTCTTTTTTTTTTTTTAAGATTTTATTTATCTACCTGACAGAGATGACGAGAGAGGGAACACAAGCACAGGGGAGCTGGAGAGGGAGAGGCAGGCTCCCGGCAGAGCAGGGAGCCTGATGCAGGGCTCTATTCCAAGACCCAGGAATCATGACCTGAGCGCAAGGCAGACGCTTAATGACTGAGCCACCCTGGTGCCCCTGGGATTGTGTCTTCTTATCTATATAAACCCAAGACCTACTGTAAGAAGAACTGGACTTTAGTAGATAATAAGGTTTATTTAGTAAATGGTCAAGCACTTTTTAAAAAAGAAATGGTCTTTATTTTATTTATTTTTTAAGTAATCTCTACCCCCAACATGGGGTTTGAACTCATGACCCTGAAATCAAGAATTGCATGCTCTACTAAGCTACTCAGGTTCCCCCAAACATACTCTTCTTCTTCTTCTTTTTTTTTTTTTAAAGAGGGAGAGAGATGTTGGGGAGGGATGGGGGCAGGATGGAGAGAGAGAATCTTAAGCAGGCTCCATGCCCGGTGTGGAGCCTGACGCGGGGCTTGATCTCTCAGCCCTGAGATCATGACCTGAGCCAAAATCAAGAGTTGGACGCTTAACTGACTGAGCCACCCAGGTGCCCCCAAATATTCTTTTTTAAGATCTAAAGACCCCACACACTATTCAGCCCCTCCTTCCCTTCCACTAGGACCAACCTCACTCGACTATCACTGACTTTCTGGCTTTCTTCAGTGGTTTACACTTGGAAAACAGAAATGTGTAGATATGACACAGATGAAAGTTGTTAAGAACATGTTATAATGGTCGGGGCGCCTGGGTGACTCAGAGGGTTAAGCCTTTGTCTTCAGCTCGGGTCATGATCTCAGGGTCCTGAGATCGAGCCCCACATCAGGCTCTCTGCTCAGCGAGGAGCCTGCTTCCCCCTCTCTCTCTGTCTGCCTCTCTGCCTGCTTGTAATCTGTCTGTCAAATAAATAAATAAAATCTTAAAAAAAAAAAAAGAACATGTTATAATGGTCTGATAAATCAGTCTTTGGCTGTATGAGATAGTACTTAATTGGTTGCACTGAATTAGACCATTCTATTTAAGGTCTCTTTATTAACGTAAAGTGAATAAGACACAGGTAACAACAAAGAAATAGGTTATTCTTTAATTTTGGTATTACTGGGGTTGACATTTACTGTAAGTACTATCAATTTTTAAAGCGACCATTGATTTTTTTTTTAAGATTTTATTTTGTTTATTTGACAGACAGAGATCACAAGTAGAGAGGCAGGCAGAGAGAGGGGGAAGCAGGCTCCCCGCTGAGCAGAGAGCCTGATGTGGGGCTCAACCCAGGACTCTGAGATCATGACCCAAGCTGAAGGCAGAGGCTTAACCCAGTGAGTCACCCAGGTGTCCTTTAATCAGCCATTGTAATTTTCACTTACGTATTTTTTAAATCTTTAACCTCAATATCTTTTGACCAAAAAATATTTTTTTATTGTAGGAAACTGAAACCAGGATGTTTATATTACAATATGATATATTGAGCCTTAGTTGAAGCTATGACAAAGAACGTCTAGTTTAGAGATTTCTGTATACTGCTAATTCAGTCTTTCTGATGCCTTTAGAATTGTCATTTTCAAAAAAAATTATTTTCTTTTAGCAAAGTAATAACATACTTAATTTTGATTAAAATATTTCTATTTTTTTCAGAGAGTGATGCCTTCTAGCTTTTTCCTGCTGTTGCGATTTTTCTTGAGAATTGATGGGGTGCTTATCAGAATGAATGACACAAGACTTTACCATGAGGTGTGTGTTCTTACTCCATGAGTACCCTGGTTGACGTTGGGATTGTTCTCTTGTTTCATTGTCTGGTTGGGAATTTGAAGGGAAGCACTGCTTTATACTTTATGACAGTCCTTCTGACCTTTAAGGTAGGGTGTTCTACATGCACTGTTGACTGCACAGTAAACGAAATAGCACATCTTTTCTGAAAGTTCTGGTAGCTAAAAACGTTTTCTAAAGGACACTCCCCAGTAGGGCATGTCTGATGCTTCTAAAAAAACCTCATGTGTACTTAATCTGTGTGTAAGAGAACTGTCCCTTAACTCTTACCTTTGTTCATCATGTTAGTGCTTATATAATGTCTTTATTAAAAATACCAACCACTCCTGGAGTTTGCATTACATAATCATTGTGATAGTCGCGCTGAAGTTTGAAAGCTCGGTACTCCCTCTGAAGGAACTGCCGACATACAAGGTTTTCCAAAAAGTGTCTAAAAAACTGAGTCATGGAAGTTCCTCTGGTAGCTTATAGCAGCCTGTCCTTTCAGAATGGGTCTGTAACCTCTGGTCTGTGATCGTGTAGAATGGTGAATTAGAGAAGAGACCGCCAGAGTCAGTAGGGCAGTGGTGGTAACTGACTGTCACCACCACCCTGTGGAAGAAGAGCCGTCATCATCTCTGTTCATAGCTGAGGCGGCGACAGCAAAGACATCAGGTGGTCACTTGCCCAGGTTCTACGGTGAATAGGTGGCGGAAGTGGAATTTAAACCCAGTAAGACGGGGTTGGTGCCCAAGTCCCGTGCTCGGGGGCGGGGGGGTGGGTAGGGTTTCTTCCCTCAAAAAACTGTGGTTTTTTTCTTTTTTAAAAGTGGTAGCAAAGTACTAAAGATAGGCTGTATTTTTCTGCCTCCGAAAAGTGTGTGTGTGTGTGTGTGTATAATGTGTGTTTATAATTTTAATATATATGCGTATGTATATGGACGTTTGTGGCAGTGCTCTTGTTTGTAGCAGTGAAAGGAAAAGGCGGGAGCTTACTGCTCACTGCATGGGCACGGACTTAAACTATTTAATTTACGTCCATATGGTTGAAAGTAGACTGCCATTAAAAATGAGTGGCAGAGAGTTGACATTTAATTGATGTGTAAAGATATGCATCTCAGTTTTGTATTTTAAAAAGTATGAACATATATAAGTTTTGTAGAGATTTCTGAATGTTAAAAGATAGTGTTATCTGTAGAAGCTGTGGTTGCTCTCTACTTCTGTATTATCTGATTTTAGTGAGCAGTAATCTGGTTATTGATTAAATATTAAAATTTACATTTATTTATAGAAAAGATTAAAACTTTAAGGGAGTTTAATCTTGTGTGATTTTTCTTTTATTGAATAATGTTTCACCAAAAAACAAACTGTAATAAATTTTTTTCTAAAACCTAACTTTAAAAAGTTGGAAATGGGAAAAGTCGAAGTCTAAAAATGTGATTTATTAAATAAGCAATTTGCAAGAATTTTGCGGAAATGGGAGAGAATAAAATTTAAGCCTTTTTTCTTTACACGTGAGAGTAGCCATGTTATGTAGATAGGTGACGATAAAGCTTAAGGAAAAGATGTAGTTCCAAACATGAATATTAAAATCTCTTGCACATATCATTTGCAAATATACATATTTTTTTTAAAGTTAAACTTCTGCTTGTATTTCTCTTACATGGTAATTATTAAATCTGTTTACATATGATATCACTGTGATTTATAGAGATTGGTATTAGTAATTAAGAATTTTTGGTGAAAATTAATTGTCTCATGGCAGCGTGAAAATTCTTGTCAGACTTCCTGCTACTTTGTAAGCAATTCTGTTGTCATAAGCAGTGCTGTTTGAGAGAAAGGATTTTGTAACAATAGAAATAGATTTATTGCAACCTTTTTTTATTTTTCAACATAGGCGGATAAGACCTACATGTTACGAGAATATACATCACGAGAGAGCAAAATTGCTAATTTAATGGTACAGTATTTTAATACCAGTTTTTAGAAGTTGACTTTTAATGTTCATTTTGCATGTTTCCACCCAAATCTGGATCCCTGAATCTATCAATTCACCTAATAAGCCTCTAAAAGATAAATCCTACTGGAGCATAACATTCCTGAGCTCACCTCAAATACAAAACCAGTTAGTTTTTGTATGTACCAGAGCCATCTTCTAGTCTAATTTCCACTTTTTATTCTGGAAAAACAGACCCAGAGCTGTGACTTACTGTAGGTCACACAGCTGTTTGTTGGTGGGTCAGCGAGTGGCACCAGTGTCATGTTCTTTCCACTTAGCACCTTTTCACCCTGTAATTTCTTTCTACCCAGTCTCTTTTTTTTCCTCCTTAAAATGTGATAATTTTGTGCCATACCTTGTTTTGGCCCAATTTTTTTTATTTTTTGCTCTTCTGGGACTTGTAAAGGCCTTCTGCAAATCTGTAGGATTCTGTAATAGGTTGCTTCAAAAGTCATACCTTTTTGCAGATATCGCTGTGAATTAGAGAGATTGATACCGCTCGTGCTTATTTCAGTGTGGATGTAGAGTATACGTGGGTAGGAAAAGTCACTTAGAGTCCATCGTAGGCCACATCCTGGTTCTGTATAAAGGCTAGTGCTTTCAAGGTGCAAAAACATTAGTAAAAGAGGGTGAGATTAAGATGCAGTAAAAAAAAATCTTTTTAAGTAGGCTCCACCCTAAACGTGGAGCCCAACACGGGGTTTGAACTCATGACCTTGAGATCAACACCTGAGCTGAGATCAAGAATCAGATGCTTAGGGGTGCCTGGGTGGCTCAGATGGGTAAGCCTCTGCCTTCAGCTCAGGTTATGATCCTAGGGTAGTGGGATCGAGTCCCACATCAGGCTTCCTGCTCAGTGGGGAGCCTGCTTCTACCTCTCCCTCTGCTGATCCCCCTGCTTGTGCTCTCTTGCTCTGTCAAATAGATTAAAAAAAAAAAAAAAAAAGGAGCAGACATTTAACCGACTGAGCTACTCAGGCACCCCAAGATGTATTGAATTCTTAATACATGTGTGGGAGCATTATAAATAACCTATTCCTGTAAGCTTTGAGGAAATCGTCCGTTAAGAGGTTGCATGATTCAGTAACAAGAGATACCCGTTATCATCAAGATCACCTAATGATGCTCCTCATATACGTATATTACAAACATATATTACAGCTCCTTCTAAAATGGGTGTGTTGGGCACCTCTGTGGTACAGCTAGTTGGGTGTCTGACACTTGGATTCGGCTCAGGTCATGATCTCGGATCGAGAGGTCGAGCCCCGTGTTGGGCTCTGTGCTTGAGACTCCCCCTCTCCCTCCCGCCCCCAAAATAAATTATTTAAAAAAATAAAATAAAATTGGTGTGCTTTGTGAATATTTGAACCAAAGCATTTCTTAAAAGTACCGGTGTGGTCAGTGAATCTGTGCTAACGTGATTTCTGTATTTCCAGCACGTTTCACCTTCCCTCTTCACGGAACCTAATGAAATATCACAGTATTTACCGATCAAGGAGGCAGTTTGCGAGAAGCTTCTATTTCCAGAAAGAATGGATCCTAACCCTGCAGACTCACAAGAAAGTGCACCTGCGGAATAGAATGTGATACAACATACACTCATCGTGGAATCTGACTGGGGACCTTAGCTATTTGGAGGGGGTATTTTTATTCTGAGAATTACTTGCCTTGTTTATGTGCAGATTTTCTGTAGCCTTAAAGGAAAAAAAACACAAAGGAGTGTTGCAGGCAGGTTCCACTCAACGGCTTTTTGTACTGTCTTCAGATTCATATTCCAGATTTATATTTTCTGGAGTTAAGTTTGGATTTCTAACTGTTAGAGTGCAGTCTCACTAGTAGTGTGTGTGCCTCACGTGCAGTGGGCATGGTCTGCGTCCGTCGTGAGACACTGTCTCCGACCCCAAGGGTCAGTGTCAGTCACAGAATCACAGCACCTTGTGGCTTCCGCGGGGTCCCTGATCGTGCATGTTGATGTGCTAGCTCTTTACTTTGGGCTTTTTGATGTTTATGCGCACCTCTGGAGAGCCGTGCGTTGCCTTTTAGGAAACTGATGTCGTAAGTGATCTTTACCCACACACACAAATATATATATATATATATATATATTTATATATATATATATATTTATATATATATATATATATTTATATATATATATATATATTTCCCCTTTAAATTTAAATTGGGTTTTGAAGTCTTTGAGAAAATTTCAGACACAGAACTGAATAGCAGCCTAGGGTCTGGGCAGACTGACGGTGCTCTATCCGTGGACGCACCTGAACGTGGCTCGCTGGCCTCAGGGAGGTGTCAGAGCTGTCCTTCCTTCATCTTTAGGTGCTTTTTCTTAGGTGTGGTTCTACTTGTACTGACGTTTTTTAACTTCATTTTCCATGCAACCTTGGAATGAATAAATCCATTGAATATTGAATTTGTACTGTTGTGTAGCTAATTTTATCAGCCAAATTTTGTCACAAGTGATTTTGGTATTTGTTTGCCTTCTGCTGCATCACCTGCAAGGTGTAGGAAATCAGGATTTTGTTGGCTTTAAGAAAATACATGGCATGTTCACTGTCTTTTAAATATACCTGTATTTAATCTTTTCTTGTAGGACAGAAAAGTGTATATATTGTGCTCAGCCTTCTGTTGTATTTTATTTGCCATGCGGATTTGAACAGAATAGACTCTTTATTCATACAGGATATATAAGAAATGAAAAACGTGTAAGAATATTCATTAGTTGAAGTTTCTGGGCAACATCATATATATTCTTAACTTGAATCAGTTGTCTTAGTCTCTTGAGTCAGGTTTAGGTGACTTATTTCCAGAGTCCATTGCTAAAAATTGTGGGAAATTAAAAGAATTGATCTTTTTTATAGAGGATGGGAAGTTGATAGGATGAGTGAGCTTCTGGAAGCTCCTTGAGTGTATTCCTGTGGAGAAGACCCGGAAAGCCTCTATTTGCCCATTGCTAAATAAGACATATGCCATTTCATATTTATTTGTTCCCAGTGTCTTTTTGTAAGAAAAGAATAAACAAGGAATTACTGATCTGTGTTTTGCTATTTCATTTATTTCTGTTTCCCCTAAAGCTCAATTTAAAAAAATGGTTGGTGTCCTTTTTTCATTTGTCTTTGTTTGGAACTTGGTCAACACTGTAGCCAGATTCTACAGGTAGATTCTCATGAAAATCTAAAGACAGTCCAGAATAAATTATCATATGTCACTGCTATGAGCAATTTGAGAAATAAAGACAGAGGATCACAGGGGAAGGGAGGGAAAAATGAAACAAGATGGGACCAGGGAGGGAGACAAACCATGAGAGACTCTTCATCTCAGGAAACAAACAGGGTTCCTGGAGGAGGGGAGGGTGTAGGATGGGGTGACTGAGTGATGGACACTGGGGAGGGTGTGTGCTGTGGTCAGTGCTGTGAATTGTGTGAGACTGACGACTCACAGACCTGTACCCCTGAAACAAATACTACATTGTATGTTAATAGTAAATAGAGTCCGGACTGTAATCCCCAGTTCAGCTTCTCTTCCTCCTCTCCCTCGGCCCTCCCTGCCTGGTACTTCTGTGGGTATTTTAGTCCCCCAGTGTTTGCTGTAGGATGAGTTAGTATTTTTGAAAATAGAGATACCTGCCATTAATATCTTTCCATTTATTTTTAAGTGCTGTGTGTCCAATATGGCACTAAGCAGAAAGGATTATAATAATGAGCCATATGTGTCTTTACAAGAGTTCGAATTTAATGGAGACAAAGTAAAAATAATACAAATTTTAGTACGTATAATGGCAATAATAACCAACTTCAGAAGATAAGGAAATCACCGTTAGTAGAGGTAGTCAGAGTTCTTCTGAACAAGGTGTAGAAAGACGCAAGAGACTGTCACTCCTAACTTCACAAGGAGAAAAGCTCGAGAATCTATAAAGTTGCACATTTTCTTGAGCATGTCACCTGAGGTCGGGGGACAGAGCAAACTGAATCCCGAAGGGTGATAAGCCCTCCAAAAGATGGGACACACACGTTTCATTTTAGAAAGAGCAACAAAAGACACAAGTGGCCACCATACAGGCAGCTAACCACAATCTAGAATGTGGAATTCCTAAAGGAATTTAAGAATTTGGGATAGCTGAGAGTGTCCAATACGGGGACTTAAAACACACACACACACTTCTTTCCCACTGGCCTACAATAAAGGAGGGCTCATAAGCCCTGAGGCAGGGACGCCTGGGTAGCTCAGTGGGTTAAACCACTGCCTTCGGCTCAGGTCCTGGTCCCAGGGTCTTGGGATGGAGTCCGGCATGGGGCTCTTCACTCAGCGGGAAGCCTGTCTCTACCTGCTACTCTGCCGGCTTGTGTTTTCTCTCTCTCTCTCTGACAGATAAAATCTTAAAGAAGGAAAGAAAGAGAAACCCGGAGGCAGGGCAGGGGACCAGAAAGTCCCTGTCCGTGTTCAGGCTTGCAGGAGGTAATTGGCTACTGCTGAGGGACAGGTGGCTAGGAGATCCTGCCCGCTGCCCCAGACCCTTGTCTTGAAGGATGCAAACAAGCGCTTCAGGCCGCTGAGGGAGGCGCACCAAATCATCACCCCCACCAGGGGAAAAATCCCTTACTTCTAGGGAAGGAATAAAGACAAAACCTGTTTGCCTCTGGGGAGTAGGACATGTTCTGCGTTTGAACACAGGCAAAGAACCATTACTGCTGGAGGAGTGCCAACGCCTTCGACCTTGGAGGAGCGGCAGAAAAATCTGGGCCCAGGATCCCACACGGATAACGAGCCGATCTGCTGCCATGGTGGGGTGGGCATGAAATTCGCACAACAGTACGGTCTTCAAGTGTACACAGAACATTCACCGAGGTAGAGACTATGCTAGGCCATAAAGCAAACTTCGATAAATATAAAACACTTGACGTCATATGAAGTTTGTCCTCTGACCCTAAAAATTAAACTAGTAAAAGCCAGTAACAGAAGATATCTGGGAAATCCCAAATAACTTCCCTTGAGAGAAATTAGGGAGATAAGTGAGTAAGTGGAGACAAATACCATGTTTGTATAGAATGAAAGACTCAAGATGTTAATATGCCAATTCTTTAGTCAGTGGGATCCCATTCAAAATCCTAGCAGGCTTTTCACTAGAAATTTATCAGCTGATTCTAAAATGTATAAGGAAATCCACGGAATCTAGATAGCCAAAACAATTTTGTAAAAGAACAAAATTGGAGGATTCAAATTACCTGATTTCAAGACTTCATCTAAAGCTACAGTAACCAAGACTGTGGCAACTGTGTTGGGATCGACATTAGGATCCCTTGAACAGAACAGTGACTCAGACTGACCCACACCGGGGCACTTGGCAGGCTCATTCGGTAGAGCATGCGACTCTTGACCTTGAGGTTGTGAATTCAAGCCCCACACTGGGTATAGAGATTATTAAAAATAAATTTTAAAAAACTGATCTACACATGTATGTTGGACTGATTTTGAACAAGACACAAAGAATTCAGTGGAGGACAGTCTTTTCAACAAATAGTCATAGAACATTTCGACATCCACATGCAAAAAAGTGAATCTTGAACCTTCTCTCACACCATGTGCAAAAATTACGTCAAAATGAATCAGAGAGAGCGCCTGGGTGGCTCAGTGGGTTAAGCCTCTGCCTTCAGCTCAGGTCATGATCTCAGGGTCCTGGGATAGAGCCCCGCATCGGGGCCCCTGCTCGGCAGGAGGCCTGCTTCCCCCTCCCCCACTCCCCCTGCTTGTGTTCCCTCTCTCGCTGTGTCTCTCTCTGTCAAATAAATAAATTCTTAAAAAAATTTTTTTTAAGTCCTAAATATAAGAAAAAAATTGATAAAATGGCCTTTATTAAGATAAAAAACTAGTTTTTGAAAGACAGTCAATATCAACAGATAAGCTACAAACTGCGAGAAAATATTTCCAAGACACACGTGTGGCATAGGACTTTCATCTAGAACACGTAAAGAGCTCGTACAGCACAATAATAAAACATAACCCAGTTTAAAAATGGGTAGAAGTTGTGGATGGTACATAAGCATATGAAAAGATGCTCAAAACCATCAACTTTTAGGCAAATGCAAATGGAAACTTCAATGAGATACCACTGCACCTTTTATAATAGCTAAAATTTAAAAATGGATGAGACCAGTAAGGGTGTGAATCTCATATACTGCTGGTGAGAATGGGAAATCGTTCAACCACTTTGGAAAACAGTTTGGCAGTTTCTCTCTTTTTTAAGATTTTATTGATTTGAGAGAGAGCGTGGGCACACGTGCAAGAGAGCAGGAGCAGATGGGGGGAGGGTTAGAAAGAGGGAGACGCGGACTCCCCGCTGAGTAGGGAGCCTGACGCGAGACTCATCCCAGGATCCCCCGGTCGCGATCTGAGCCGAAGTCAGACGCTTACCTGACTGAGCGCCAGGCCCCCAGCCTGGCAGCTTCGTACAAAGGCAAACTTGCACTGACCTTTCAACTCCGCAGTCCTACTCCTAGGTAAAACGTACGTCCACACAAAGGCCTACGTGCACATATTCCCAACAACTGCAGTTGCTCCTGACGGCCGAAAACCGGAGACGACGCAAGTGTCCGGAGAGAGACTGCGGTACGTCTTCGTCACAGCCGCAGAACGGCACTAACCACTGATGGGACGCGTCTCCAGACCACTACGCGAAGTGACAGACGGGAGACATGACA